AATAATAATAATAATAATAATAATAATAATAATAATAATAATAATAATAAAATTGAAAAAAAAAACTTTGGTTTTTCTCACATAGATGTTGTATATATTTTTGTTAGATTTATGCTTCTTTTTTTGGGGGGGTGCTAACATAAATAGTATTATGTTGGTTGTTGTTGTTTGTTTGTTGTGGGGGGATATTATGGGGAGCCTGCCTCAGAATTCAAACAAAAAACAGCTTTATTTACCTTACCAGGGACTGTCTCCCACCTGTAGAGACTGAGACTCTGGGAGAATAGCAATTTCCTCACTTGTGTCTTGGGAATTTAAGGATTAAAAAAAAAGCCCACAACTCAGTTGCTTTTCTCAGTGTCATGCAAGAAAGCAAGGTAAAAAAGCTAAAAAAAAGAAAAAAAAAAAAGACGTTAGCTTAATCACATCTCCAGTCCAAACAAGTGTTAGACAACCGTATCCTGAGTTTCAGCTGAGCAGGGACGATAACCTATTTTAAAGTCATGTAGACCCATAAATGTACTCAAACTCAGGATGTAGCTCACCATGACCACCACCATATCCTGAGTTTGGTATATTCTGTGGGGAACAAAGTACAGAAAAACAGTTTGTTTTTTTAAGAACACAGCTTTAATTTCTGTTTCTCAGAAATGGGTCATGCAGATCTCTCTTCACAGGAGCAATAACAGAAAAACTAAGATGGAGTTTGGAACAGCTAAAATGGAGTCTCTCTGGCCACACCTTTTTGTTTGTATAGCGACAGTGACGCCATTCCCACTGTCTCAGTACTAGTATCTTATTTGATGCTTGCAGTTATCTCATTTACTCATCATTTTACTACTGATATCTATAAGTTTATAGATATCAAGCTAATACAATTGTTCACAATTATATTGATTAACCTTATCTATATTAACTCCTATCAGCCTATATTTATCTATAACTATACTGGCATACTGACTTGTCACCTTTTACTGTCCCATATCTTTTTCCTGTGGTTTAAATCCTGTGTCTTACAGTTACATGATTTTATTACTATTACTTAGGCTTATTCCTGATGAACTTATCTATGAAGTTATGTCTTACTGTTGCTTATCCTTGTTATCTTATTTCTTTTATCTAGAACCTATGTCTGTGACTTATTGATTATATTGATCAGTTCACACCACAACGGGGCAGGGAGGGGGGGATATTGTCACTAGGGATTGAACCCAGAGGCTCAAAACCACTAAACCACATCCCCATCCCTTTTTCATATTTTATCTAGAGACAGGATCTCATTGAGTTGCTTAGGACCTTCCTAAGTTGCTGAGGCTGGCTTTGAACTTGTGATCCTCCTGCCCCTGCCTCCTGAGCTGGTGGGAATACAGGTGTGTGCCACCATGCCTGACAATATTGTGTTTTTAACTTCAATTCTAGTGAATTTTTAGTACATAGAAAAGCAATCGACCTTTTTATATTAACCTTGAATCCTGCAACCTTTCTATAATCACTTATTTGATCTGTTAGAGTAGATTGACAGATATGAGCAGGGGGGTGGAGAAAGGGAGAATAGGGCTCACTTCATCTTGAAGAACAAAAGGTCTTGAGTGACAAAAAAAACCTTGCCAATAAACCACCTCTCATGGCCAATTACTACCTTCTTAAAACTAAGAAATGAGTGTGTAACCAGCCTGAGGGACTTTCCAACTTTAGAGCACCCACAAAATTCCTGGCACCAAGCCATGGTAGGCAATTGTGGTAACTACTCCCAAATAAATAGTTCATGGAATGGGAAGATCCCAAGCAGATAATAAAAACTCACAAAGCAAAAAAGACCACTTCTTCCCTTGGGATGGCCTACCCTATGTTCTCCCTGGAATTTATTTTCACTATGTAATTGTCTATGCTTTTTCTCTCTATGTCTCTTGAGTGAAGTTATTCTTTCAAGAAGACAAAAACCAAGGAACCTCTGCCTAGTAACAGTTTCAGGAGTTTTGTTTTGTTTTGTTTTCTTGTTAATTTTCTTTTTTGTTGTTGATTCTTTTGGATTTTCTACACAAATGATTGTCATCTGCAAAGAAAATATTTATTTCCAATCTGTATGCCTTTTAGTTTCAAGTATTATTGCATTAGCTACAACTTTCAATATGGTGATAAAAAGCAGTGGGGAGAGAGGTCTACCTTGTTCTTGACGTTAGTGGGAAAGCTTTAAGATTCTTACCATTAAGTGTGAAGTTAATTCTAAGGATTTTTGTGGATATTATTTATCAATATCTTTAGGAAGTCCTCTGTGGGGGGCCGTCATGCTGAGTGACCAGCATTTTCCTTCCCTGATCGGTTGAGGCTCTGTCAGTCACTTCCAGTGATCTGGCCACATTCAAAGTGGCCCCACACAGCTGCCCTGATCCTGGAAGTAGCAGAATGTGTCTTCATGCATAGGTATGGCTTTCTGCAGCCCCATGGGTTGAGCTACGCTCACCTGTTCCTTTGTGATATTATCCCCTTGCCCTGTTTAGGATAGAATGTTCCATGGAAACACCCTTTGTGTGTCCCCTTCTCTTGCTCTGCCTTTGGGTGTGGCCTTCCTAGATGTCAGTCAAGCTGCTGACAGCAGACATCATGAAGTTAGACTCAGCCCCCTGAAACCTGACCCCTTGCCTCATTTGAATGGCTTTTCCTCAATAAAAGAGGTCAGCACACACTTGCTCTCCTTTCTGCAGACCCTTAAGGTCAGAGGAGCCATCACTGGACCCCCAAAGAAAAAGGTATCTCTGTCTCTTGTATGGTTATTTTATGCAGCCCAGTTCCCCTGGAGTGACCCTGAGTGTCTCTACTATTCTTAGTTTACTGGGAATTATTATCATGAACGGGTGTTGGATTTTGTCAAATGGTAATAGAATTTACCAGTGAATTAATTCAGGCTTGGTGTTCTCTTTTGGAAGGTTATTAATTATTGGTTTAATTTATTTAATAGCTATATACCTATGCAGATTGTCTATTTCTTTTTTTGTGAGTTTTGGCACACTGTGTCTTTCATTGAATTGGTCCATTTCATCTAAGTATATTTGTGGTAGAGTTGCTCATAGTTTTCCTCAATTATCCTTTTCATGTTCATGAGATATTATTTTAGTAACATCCCTCTTTTCATTTCTGGTGTTGGTAATTTATGTTCTTTCTCCCTTTCCCCCCTTAAGTAATAACATATGAATTTTATTGATCTTTTCTGTTTTTTTTTTTTTCAGTTATTTTCTAAATTGATTCCCTGAGTTTAATTTTTTGATTGCTCAGATTTTTATTATTTTCTTTGGATTTTGTTTGCTCTTCCCCGCCCCCCCAGTTTCCTAAGTGAAAACTTAGATGACTGATTTTAGATTGTTCTTTTTAAATATGTCAATTCAGTGCTATAAATGTTCCTCTGGGTACTGCTTTTACTCTATCCCACATATTTTGGTAAGTTGTGTTTTCATTTGTATTTAATTCAAAATATTGCAATTTCTCTCGACAATTCTTCTTTGACGTGTTATTTAGAAGTTTTGAGCTTTCCATACCTTTTTGTGAAGTCTTAAAAGTTTGTTAATTTTTCTTTTTGCATTTAATCCATTGATTTAATCACTTTTATTAAATCAAGAGTTTCAATCCATTGACTTGTTCCCCAGCCACTAATAATAATGACCATAATATATAACATTATATGCTATCTGAAACGTTTCTCATTAACATTTTTAAAATAATTAAGTACTGGAATATAAAGAAACTATTTCATATATTTTTAATCTTTCTAATTTGTTTTAAATAGTTATGCATAACAGAATGCCCTTGTGGACTTTGATATATCATACATAAATGGGGTATAATTTCTCATTTTTCTGATTGTACATATTGTGATTATAGGTCATGCAGTCATAAATGTACATAAGGTAATAATGTATTTCATTGTACTATTCTTCCTGTCCCCATATCCCCTCCCTCCCTTTACTCTCTTCTACCTAAAGTAATCCTATTCTTCCCTAGCACCTGCAACCCTTACCCTTCCTGCGAATTAGCAACTTCATATCAGAGAAAGCATTCAGACTTTGGTTTTTTGGAATTGCTTATTTCTCTTAGCATGATATTCTCCAACTCCATCCATTTACCAGCAAATGCCATCATTTCATTCTTCTTTAAAGCTGAGTAATATTCCATCTAATATATATACCACATTTTCTTTATCCATTCATCTATTTAAGGGCACCCAGGTTGGTTCCATGTGTGAAATATATTTAATTCCTTATATCTACTGTAACTTAAGTTACAATTCATTCCCATTAGAAAATAAGAAAAGGGACTTTTTCAATACATAGTGATGATTAATCTGAATTCTCAAGTTGATTGGATTTTGAGATGCCTAAAATTAAGAGGCTTGTTGGTGTTTTAGGAACAATTGGCATTTGAGACAGCAAACTGAGGTGGAGACCCACCCTAAGTGTAGGCAGCATAGTTCAATAGATTAGACATTTCCATAGGAAAAAAAGTTTGAAGAACTAGGAAGAAGCAGCAGATACAAGCTTGACTATTCCTGCAATTGCCTGAGGACATCAGACTCCAGCTCCTTTTTCCAGGTGGACTCTGGTGAGACTCTCCAGGGGGTTTCCAGGTATTTGGTCCCCAGACTGGGGCTGCATCATTGATCCCTTTTGTTCTGAGGCTCCAGATTCTTGGACTGAGCAGCTACTGATTCCTCCACAGCTCTCCAGCCTGCAAATGGCCACTGTGGGACTATTTAGCTTCTGGTCCTGTGAGCCAATCTAATAAATTCCCATTTTACAATCATATTTATATGGTTCGTTCTGTTGGTTCTGTTGATCTAGAGAACCCTAATGCATACACACACATACACAAACACACACACACACACACACTTTTTACTTTTCCCCATTTTCCATACTATAATAAATATATCTTTTGAATTAAAAACACACATTAAATTTGGATACCAGAGAGGAGTACAGAAAGTTTAATACTGAATCAAAATGATGATGAGTTACATTTAAATGAAGATGTTCCTTTATCGTCACACTTGGAAATTTCTTATGCATATAAATGACAAACTGTTTTCAAAACAACCAAACTTAGGCTGAATGTATTACATGTTGTTCGCTGAGATGTGTCTTTTTTTGACTGCAAACTTGCATCTTCTGTCAATGAAATAGAAAAATTAAAAGCTTGATTTATTAATTTCAAAGGCAAGAAATAATTGAATCAACACTGAAATATTTTGATACATTCTGTTAGGTACAACAATATCTAGATTTCCTAAAATAGAGGAAAGTAAAATAAAATGAAAAGAATTCACTTAGTTTCTTCTGAGTTTTAGAATAAGGTAATCAATGTAGAAAATTAATACCTTTTTAATTTAAAAAAAATAAAATGTTTCTACCCTAACACTGCTTAAAAATCTTTACAGTGCTTTCTGCTGACAGTGTCATGTCAACAAATATTTCTACAATGCCTCTTATGTTGAAGACTCCAAAATCAAAAATATACAAAACTACAAAGTAGGTAACTTTGTTTTTGACATTGCTATATATCCATTTTAAGTCCCTGACAAAATGTAATTCCTTCTTGTTGAGTTTTAAACATCACTTTCATTTCTATAGAGGTCCTTGCCCCAAAGTTTGCTCAATGTCTTTGCACATCAAAATTTTCTTCTCAGCTTAGCATTCTGACAGGATGCTAATTTATTAGTAATTCATCAATTTAATTTGCTTTTATTTTTTCATTGATTTCTTCACATTCTTTCATTTTCTACTATGTATTGAGCATGTTTTTGAGCTTTGTACATAATGGTTATCAGAAAAAATAAAGTCCCATTCACTATAGGACAATAAAGAGTGGTAAAATCTATCATTAATTTAAAAATGAAATATATCAATAAAATAAATATAAGTGATTATTTCAGAAAATGATAATGAAGCCAGATTTAAAGATAGGTAGTTAGTGTAGTTAGATACATAGGGTCTAATATTGAGTAAAATGAAGATGGAGCCCATCCCAAGGAAATGTTAATGAAGCAGCTCCCAGCAAACATGGAGATGCTAATCCAAAAGCCCTTCCTGCCCAGATTACTCCTTTGCCCCCGCTGTCCCCCACCCTTTGGGCCTTCTCACCTATATTCCATCACTGCAAGATAACAGAACAAAGGACAGGAATGTGGGAAAGGTGAAAGTAGACCTTAGCTATAAAAGAGAGAAGACCTCCCCCCTTCCATGGATTCCACCTCTTGGGTCCCCTTCTTCCTCCCTGGAGAAGTCTTTTCTACTGTCCTTTAATAAAGCTCCTACCTTCTCACTCTAAACCTGCCTCAGCATGCTTCTCTGGTGTTATACTTCAGCATTGGGGAAGCAAGGACTCATCAGTCACTGGTAAACAGTGGTGGTAACAGATTGGCGATTCCCCACCAAGATCTACACCAAGGTAAGCACCTCTCCATGCACCCCATGTCTGTCTGAGGTGCATCTTTCTCTCTCTTTCTTTCTGGAAGGTGATGTGGGCACCGGAGGAATACTTAAATACAACTAGTGCAGCCGCCACTCTTCAAGACTTGGGTGAGAGGTTTCCTGACCTAGGCAGCTCTCAATCACCTGTTCCATACAGAGCAGCCATGTTGGGTTCTGCCAAAGCCGCTTCCCACTTTTCTATCTGGGCCTGGAGAGCAAATGGCGTGAGTACACAGTGTCCCTAATCCTGATGTCCCTAATCCGGATCTGCCTTGGATGCATGGAGGTGGAGAAAGGAGTTTGGAACAACTGTGGAATTCTGGTCTGGGCTGCACTCAGATGTATTCCTAAGGTTCCTTTCTCTTGAACCCCCTCCCGACAGCCCTAAGCGGTATCTAGGGTGATCAGTAGATGAATGGCACTGAGGGAAAGCCCCAATTACATTTGCCTCCATGTAACACTCCTGACCCCGCATCCATCCCCTCCTGGATGCTCTCCTTTCTTTGCCGGTCAGAAACGCTAGCAATTCAGGTTGTAGGACTGAGAAAGACATGGGATAATTAGTAAAAAGTTGCCCAGGTTCCCTTATGCACATAGGTAACTTTCACTAGTCTGTTTTAAAATCTTCCATTACCACTCCGATGTTTAGAATGTGCTGTGTTCTCTTTAAGCTGCCAGAGGAAGGCATTTTTAGAATCAAGTCTTCCAGTAGTCTCTCCAATAGAAAGCACTATATGCCTTACAACCAGTAAATATCCCTTACCCTCAGGAGATTCCTTTAGTCAATGGAGCAAAAGGCAACAAGAAGAGTGGGCGATTCGCTTTTGCTGTGGGTTTTAGTGGCAGGGAGGAAAGCAGTAAGGCCCTTAAGTCTGAATCCTCCCGGGGTCTCTGGCACAGGGCAAACTGAGACCCTAGCACTTTGCCAAAGGGGACCAGAAACACCCTTGGCAAAGCAAGGTGAGAGAGGGGGTTTCTGGACCATAAGGAAGCTCAAACTTAGGGAGACGTCCCTAATGAGAACAGTTTTCTCTGGCGCGGCCCCCTGAGTCCTGTTTTTTTTTTTTTTTTCTTCTCACTCAGATAGGAGCTTCTCTCTCCAATATGCTAGGTACACCACTTACCTGCATATTGAAAAATTGGGATAAATTTGACCCACAGATGCTCAAGAAAAAGTGCCTCATTTTCTTCTGCTGCCATGCCTGGCCTCAATACAAACTCCCTGATGGAGAAACCTGGCCACCAGAGGGAAGTATCAATTTTAATGCAATTTTACAGCTTGATAAATTTTGCAAAAGGGAAGGGAAATGTTGCGAGGTGCCATATGTCCAGGTTTTCTTTGCCCTAAGGGAAAACCCCAAATTATGCCAACAATGTAAAGTAGACTTAGCTATGATATCTGCCATGAAGAGAGAAAATCTTGGGGACTCACCTACTGAGGAGAAAGAATCATGAGGACCCACAAAATCTCCATCTGCTGTTGTTGTGCAACAGCAGACATCCTGTCCTCCTTTTCCTGGCCTCTCTGCATCTGCCCCAATAGACAGATCAAATATATTACCTCTCCAGGAGATGCCAGGAGGAGAATTTGGACCAATCAAAGTACATACTCCCTTCTCCCTTCAAGACCTAAGGCAGATAAAAACAGACTTGGGGAGATTTTCGGAGCACCCAGATAAATATATTGAGGTATTTCAAAACATATGCCAGGTGTTTGACCTCACCTGGAAAGATATTATGCTATTACTCAACCAGACTTTGACTTTCAATGAGAAGGAAGCAGCCCTAAGAGCAGCTGAGGAATTTGGAGATGGACCTACACCTTGCTTTTGCCCCAGCAGAACAGACTAGGAGCAAACCAAATCATCCATCTGGAGCACAGGAAGTTCCCAGAAATGATCCTGAGTGGAACTCAAATGATGAGCAGGATGCTTGGAAAATTAGACGTTTCCAAATGTTGGTCCTTGAGGCCCTCAGGAGAATCAAGCAAAAGCCCATTAACTATTCTAAGGTTTCAGAAATTATTCAGGGACCCCAGGAAAGCCCTGCTATTTTCATGGAGAAACTCAGGCAATAAGAAAACACACCACCGTGGATCCTGAATCCACAGAGGGCCAATTACTTTTAAAGGACAAATTTATCACTCAGTCAGACATTCAGAGGAAGTTACAAAAATTGGCATATGGCCCTGATCAATCTTTAGATAACATCCTCCAGCTTGCCACTTCTGTTTTTTATAATAGAGATCAAGAGGAAAAGAAGGAGAAAGAGCTCAGAGACAGAAAAAGGACTGAAACACTGGTATTTGCTCTTAGAGGAGTAAGCTCCCAGGGTGAAAAAGAAGGAAGACAAAATGCTCCTCAATCCACAAAAGGGACTTGTTTCCATTGCGGAGAGGAAGGACATTTCAAATGGGATTGCCCGGTAGCCAAGTGACCACTGCAAAGGCCCTGCCCTAAATGTCAAGGCAATCACTGGAAGAGCAACTGTCCTGAGGGGTGAAGGTCCTAGAGGCCAGACTCCTCCACACAAGCCTGATGGGCCCAGGCTCAATTCTGGCTCCCTCACGTAACTCCTATCACGTATGCTTTTCTGTAGGGAGCAAAGAGGTCAACTTCCTCTTAGATACTGGTGCCAGTTATTCTGTGCTCACCTCTTACCCCGGACCTCTTTCCTCTAATACTATAACAGTACAAGGAGAGTCTGGACGGCCTATTACCAGAAAGTTTACTCCCCCACTGAGTTGTGAGTGGGACTGGATGATGTTTTCTCATGCATTTCTGATAGTCCTGGAATGTCCTACTCCTTTATTAGGAAGAGACTTACTTTCAAAACTTCAGACATCCATTACAATGAATTTGGGACCGTGAGGGCCATTATGTTTGCCTTTATTAGAATGTAATATAAACCCTGAAGTGTGGGCTACTGAAGGCAAAATTGGACGGGCAAAAAGTGCAGTTCTAATCAAAATAGTCTTAAAAGATCCTTCTGTCTTTCCACATCAGAGACAATATCCCCTACGCCCAGAGGCAAAAAAGGGCTTATTGAAGATCATTCAGAACCTCAAAAGACAGAAACTTTTAGTGCCCTGCAACAGCCCATGTAACACACCCATTTTAGGAATTCAGAAACCCAATGGGGAATGGCGACTAGTTCAGGACCTGAGAATAAAAGCAGTTGTTCCTCTCCACCCTATGGTTCCTAATCTATACACTCTGTTATCTGAGATTCCAGCAGCTGCTGCATGGTTTACTGTGTAAGACTTAAAGGATGCCTTTTTCTGTATGGACTTAGACTCCTAATCACAATATCTGTTTGCCTTTGAGGAACCAGATAGCGGATCTCAACTAAGTTGGACGGTATTGCCCCAAGGGTTCAGAGATAGCCCTCATTTGTTTGGCCAAACCCTAGCTAAGGATTTAACAGAGATCAGAGATAAAACATCTCTGACTGTCATACAATATATAGATGACATACTTTTATGTGCCTCCATTCAAAAGAAATGTCAGGAAGCCACTAAAGAACTTTTAAACTTCTTAGCTGATAAGGGTTATTAAGTATCAAAGAAAAAAGCTCAATTGTGCCAAAAACAAGTTCAATATTTAGGATTACAGCTGTCTCAAGGAACCCTCAAACTAGGACCAGAAAGAATAACTCCTATAGGACAGTATCCTCTACCTCAAACCATAAGACAACTT